TACATACATATAGATATACATACATACAAATATATAATTGATTTGTTTTTTGTCTTTACCTCTAAGGGTAGGGGTCACCTGGACTTTTCAATTGTACCTGTCAATCATAAGTGTGAACAAGGTCTTTTGTTGTTCAATATTCAGTTGTGTGACTCTTCGTGACCCCATCTGGGATTTTCTTGGCAAAGATACTGGAGTGGTCTGCCATTTCCTTCTCCAGCTCATTTCACAGATGAGACAACTGAGGCAAAAAGGGTTAAGTGACTTGCCCAGGGTCACACAGCTAGTAAGTGTCTGAGGTCTAGGGCACTAACCCTTGTGCCACCTAGCTGCCTAAACAAGGTCTAGACAACCCATCACTGCCACTCCACTTGAAGTAGTGGGCATTAGTCTAGGTGAAAAAAGTCCTTGGAAGGTGGATAAAATGGAGTGATGCTCCAAAGGAGGTTTGTTGAGATTGACTGAGAAAACTTAGTTAACACACAATGTAGATTTTCATATAAAATAGCAAACCAGTTCAGAGGCAGCATTCTAGAGCATAGAGCAAGCAGTTCCATCCAACCATATGTGAGGGGCTGGAGGAGTGCAGTGTCTCTCTCTCTCCCCCTTCAACCTTTCTTTGAAATCCTTGGAGTTAGCCTGCTGACCAAGTAGATAGAGTGCTGGCCCAGGATCTGAGTTCAAATCTGGCCTCAGATACTCATAAGCTTCCTTCACATCAAATCATGTAATTGGCAAAAATGATTTTAAAAAATGGAAATGAGGGGCAGCTAGGTGTTGAAGTGGATAGAGCACTGGCCCTGGAGTCAGGAGGACCTGAGTTCAAATGTGGCTTCAGACATATAACACTTACTAGCTGTGTGACCCTGAGTAAGTCACTTAACCCCACTGCCTAGTTAAAAAAAAGAATGGAAATGATCATTTTTTAAGCCTGCAGCATGACAGAGTAACACCATCTTAAAAATGATTTTAAATTATAAACTTAAAAAATGAATAAATATGAACACCTCAATATGCAAACTGGAAAGGGAATTGTATATGAAATAAATTCCATTATATACAAGTTTCTTTTACTATGAACAAGTTTTTTTTTAAATATGGTAGTTCCAACAGTTCCTTGCTTGACTGTATTTTCTTCTTAACACCTTGTTTTCAAAAAATGATCATTGATCCTTTTGTCTCTTTTCTTCCTTTTTAAAGTATTCCTGTCACTTTCCCTTATCCCCAAAAGAAAGAATACAGGCCTCCCTTGTAACAAATAAATAGACTTATGTAAAATAAATCTACACATTGGCTGTGTCTGAAAATCTAGATCGCATTCTGTACTTCTAGACCATCACCTCTCAGTCAGAGTGACATTTGTCATAAACCTTCTACAATCCTACTGATCATTGTATTTGTAGCTCAGTCTATGGGTGTTAGAGGTTTGTTGGATTGAAAACCACACAAAAAATTTTGCCCATTGAGTAGGGCCGGAAAGGCAAACATCCACTTCCTCCTCTGGCTTGTACCCTTGGGGATAAGGGCTTTACCAATCTCATCCACCCAATCCCCTTCTCCTACCACCAGGCTGGACCTACCCTCCAATAACTGTCTTTGGTTCCACCCCTACAAACAGGGTCTTTGTAACCATAGGAGGAACTAATGAGGATGCCAATGTGACCAACACAGCTCATTCTGAATGCAGCTATTAGTTTGCATTTGGGTTGTTCGGACTAATCTATTTAAAGATCAATATTAATAAGATTCTCTCTCACTTAGCTCATGAGCCCCTAGCCAGGATAGAATTTTGTTGATTTAGACCAAGGGTTTGAACTTCTATCCCTTTATCTGTCCTTCATACTTTGCCAGCTGTGCTTTTGCAACTCCTCATTCATCAGTGATGAAACATACTCATCAAAACAGTTATTATGATCCATTACATTACTAATTAAAACAAAGTCTAAACAAACTCTAAAAACAGGACAACTAGGTAGTGAACATCTGCTCACTTTGGCAGAGGGAAGAGAATGGAAAGAAAACAAGTTACCAATCCTTCATCCAATTTCCCAAAGAAAAAATTTCTGCAAGCATTTCCAGCTCCAGCCACAGTATTCCTCAAGGTCCTGACAGATAGAGGTCCCTAACCTCCTCTTTGCCAGTCCCTGTTTCTCTCCTACTCTCTCATCTGTCTCCTTGTCTCCTGAAATCTTTGAAAGAATTCCCAAATGAAAGCAAGCCTGAATACAAAACTCACCATGCTACTTTGCTGGTATTCAGTTTAAAAATTCTTAGCAAGAATGAATTCTATCCAATCCCTTCTATCTGTGCACCTCCTCTCTTGGGAAGAAGCCTGTCAAGCCAAGAAGTTCCATTTCAGCCTGAAGAATTTCATTACTAACATATAACTTCTTTTTCTCATAAACACCCAGGATTCCACACTGATCATAGTTCTTAAGTATTTTACAGTTTTCCGCTTTACAATGGTGTGGTCATTGTATAAATTCTGGCTTTGTTCATTTCTCCCTGCATCAGCTGATATGTGTGTCCCAGGTTCTTTCAATCTATCCTTTTTGTCATTTCTTATGGAAATAAGAATTATATTAAATAATATTTCATTGCATTCCTATGGCATGATTTGTTTAGACATTAACAATTATTAGGAAACCTGCTTTGTTTCTAGTTTTTTCTTTTTTTTCTTTACAAAAGTGCTGCTATAGTGTGTGTGTGTGTGTGTGTGTGCGCGTGCGTGTGTACTCACACACATTGGCTCACCCTTTCCTTCTTTCTTTAATCTCTCTGTATAATAGGTCTAATACTGGTACTGACAGGCCAAAGGGAATGCACAATTTACTGACTTTTTGGGTATAGTTCCAAATTGCTTTTCAGAATGGTCGGTTTACTTCACAGAACCACTAATAGTGCATTAGTATTCCTGTCTTCCTAATGATCCTCCAACAATTGTCCTAGGACTTTTTTCTCGTATCTTTGCCAATCTGACAGGTGTGAAATGGAGCCTCAGACTTGTTTTAATTTGCATTTATCTTATTAGTTCCCACCACCACCACCTGGTCACTGCCTTGTCATGACGGAAGGGCTTGCATAGCTTCTGCACTCCAAGTCCCTCCCCCCCCCACGCCAGGCTGTCTTTCAAGTGCACCCTTCAGTGGATTCCACTGCCCAGGGTCTTCAGGATTTTGAGCACCTCTGCAGCCGGTAATCGTCATTACTTATAGATCTGATCGAAGTCTCTGGGCGCTTTTGAAACAGGAAGTGTATTTGGATATTTTGTATTCATTCTCCAGAGAAGGCTATACCGCCTCCCTCCACATTGATGCTGCAATAATAAGAAAGCATTTTAAAGGAAAGTACAATTGGAAGGACGGGAGAATGGGGAAGATGTAGCAAATGTAACAGTGTTTTTTCACTATACTGTACTGACATTTTATCTCAAATGGAATCCATATGCCAAAAAAAAATGGAAAAGAAAAAAACAACCAGGAACGTTTAAAGCCCGGACACTTGGCAAAAAATGAAATTTTCAGGGAAATAACACTTGAGGCAAGGACTGGGTTAATAACCTGGCATTATGGATCAGTGAAACAATGATAAAACCATTTTAAAAATCTTGTTTTTGCTTCTTGCCCCCAAGCCTCAGAGTTTAGCACAGTAACCGGCACATCGACAACGCTTAATAAATGCATGTTGACTTGAAAATAAATGAGTAATTACTAGCGAGAGTAATGTAACTGACCAGGATAGTACACACCCCGACCTGGAGGAGCACAATGGCCACAGCCCAAGCAAAGCACGTGACATCCAGGGAACAAAAGGAAGGCATGGGAGGACACCACCTTTACGGGCCTTTAGGACGTACGCCTCGATCCCCAGGTCAAGGGCTTTAAAGAAAAACAAAACCCCACCGGGGCCGGTTTTTCCCATAGCCTAAATCAGTGACCCGCCCTCTCTGCCCCTTCAAGTAGATGAAGTTATTAGATTAGGTCTAAAGCACGAAGGTGAAGGTCACAGGTAGTGGGAGCAGTCTCTCCTAAACCAGAGTAGGGGGACTTGGAAGCAAAGAGCTAGGGACCTGAAGGGGGAGGGAGGAAGAGCCCCACCCCACGTGGGGGGCCGAAGGCGTGTTCTTCTTCCTGGAGAAAGGCAGGGGAGGAGCTCCAGGGAAGAAAGGAGGGGGCAGAGAGAAGGGAGGAGAAAAAAGGGTAACGGGGGGGAGGGGAAGGGGAGCAGCCGGAAACCTGCGGGTCAAGTCCAGCTCAGCTCTCTTGGGAGGGCGTCCCCTCCCTCCTTTCCCCTTCCCCCACCACTCCGAGCGGGGCCAGACCTCGGGGGCGGAGACAAGGCTCTGGGCGGGGCAACAGTAGCAGCTCCTCCCCCTCCTCTCCAGCTCTTCCTCCTTCTCCCCCCTCCCCTTACTCTCCTTTCCCCTCTCTTCTCCTCCCCCCTTCCCCTTCCGCCCTCTCCCTCCCTTTCCCCCTCCCCTTGCTTCCCCCCTTTTCACCTCCCAGTTTCCCCTCCCCCTTTCCCCTTCCCTTCCTCTCCTCCCCCTTTCCCCTTCTCTCCCCCCATTCTCCTCTTCCCTCCCCCCTCTCTTCTCTTCCCCCCGCTTTTCCCCGTTTTCTCCTCCCCCTCTTCTCTCCCCCCCCCGCCCCGCCCGGCCCCGCCCCCTGTGGGGGGAGGCCGGGCCGCTAGCTCCTTGGCTCGCTCTAGCTCGCTCGCCCGGGGCTGGGCTGGGCTGGGCTGGTCGGGGCGGGCCGGCGCTCTGGGCGGCCGCGATGGCTGAACCTCCCGCTGCAGCTCCGGCTCCGGCTCCTGCCCAGGCGGCAGCAGCAGCAGCGGCGCGGCCCGAGGGCGCTGGGGAGCCACAGCAGTCCCCGGCTGGCAGCAGCCCCGAGCCCGGCTCGCCCGAGCCCGCGCCCTTCTTCCTGCTGTACCCGGGCGATGGCGGCGCGGGCCCGGGGGTGCGGCCCCTCTACCAGCCGCCCGTGCAGCCGCAGCCCCCGCCGTGGGGCTGGAGGACGCCGCCGTCCCCGGGCTCGCCGCTGCCCTTCCTGCTGCTGAGCTCCCCGGCGTCCAGCGGCACCAAGCCCCGTGAGTACGGGAAGGGAGGGAAGGGGAGGGGGCTCGTGCGCTCCCCACGTGCCGCCGCCGCCCCCCCCGGCCGGCCTCCGCCCCCCGGCGGCCAGGGCAGGACCACCGCGCATCCCTGGCCAGCTGGGGCTGGGCGCCCTGCCCCCACCCCTTCCCAGGTGGGGCTGGAGCCACCCCACCGTCATACCCCAGCCACTCCTGGAGGAGGCTGGGGTCACCCTGCCCCCCTTCCCGGCCGGGCACCCCCAATCCCCCAGGGGTCCGTGAACCCGCACGAGGTTAGAGCCCCTGGTTGTGCCTGCCTCCAGGGGGTGGAGCGGGGGGGGCAGCCCGCCCGCCCCTCGGTGGGAGGCCCCCCGCCGGGGCAGGGCTGCCTCGGGTCGGGCATCTCCAAACTCCTCCCGCTGGCATCCAAGTTTGCATTCTCCCAAAGTCATCCTTCCTGCTCCGTCCTGTTCCGTCCATCCGCATTAAAGTTCCCTGCTCCAGATCCCCTTGTAAAAACGAGGGGCGTTCGGCCCCAGATTGAAAAGCGGGTATCTCAGTGCGCTGTGAGTGGTGGGCAGGACGGGGAGGTCAGCCCTGGGGCCTAGTGGGGCTGAGAGCTGCCCTGGAAGCCGGGAGCAGAGGGAGCTCCTTGGAGCTCCCGGGCAGGCAGTGTGGTGCAATGGCTGGAGGGGATGGCCAGGCCTGGGGCAGTCTGGAGGACCCGGGCTTCAGCCCCGCCTGTGACTCTCTTGCAGATCCTGGGCCCTGTGCTTACGCTCAGCTGCTCCGAGGCTTCTCAGTGGCTGATCTGCCGGCAGCCCCCTCATCGGGAAATTCCCTCTGTCTGTGCAATCACCTGTTCAGCCTCCGTCCACATTTGCTTGCAGGGAAATTTAAAAAGAGATTTCCAAGTCTCCCTCCTCACTGCTTGTGAAAGCTCTGAAATCCACAAACCTTAAAAGCAAATTGTGTCCAAGGGCATGGAAATAGTTCAGACTCAAACTGCTTATGTGTGGCATTATTTGGAGGGCAAAAGTCAACCCGAAAATTCAAGGGCGAAGCAGTTTGTGTTTGGCACTTTCTGTCATGCGAAATAATATAGTCATTATATTGCTACACTGGGTTCTTGCATGGGAGCTGAGGGCCTTCTCTGTACAGAGCAGACCTGGGATACTCCCCGGAGAGACCCCAGGTGTGGGCAGATGAACCGCAGAGAGATGAATTGACAGGAAGCTCTCAATCTCAGTAAATAAGTCGAGAACTCTGGGTGAGGTCCCGGGACCCTCCTTTGAGACAGACCTAGTTTGATCCCTGTGTGTCATAATTCCAGGCAGTAGGTGATGGGTGCCAAGTGCGTAGTACAGATAGTACCGGAGGAGTTCCCAGAGCTCTCCAGCTTGCCAAACAGTGATATAATAAGCTAAACGAGGAAAGGGCCCCTCACACTGAGACAGATTCCTCTGCTTGGCACCTGATGGCTTCCACAGACAGGCTTCAACCTACTTTCCAGCCCTATATCCATTACTTCCTTTTCACTGGCTCCAAGCACACGTCTCCCACCTCCTACCCCCATCTATTCACGCACAAGCTGTGCCCCTTCATCTCCTCCTCTTCCTTTAAACCTCAGGTACTGTGGAACAGCCTTCCCTGATCCGCAGAAAAGCTAGTTTCTTTCTGTCTCTCCATCTCTCCTCTTTTCTCTCTATCCCTCCCTTATCTTTCTGTCTTTCCTTCTTTCTTTCTCTCCCCCCCTTTCTCTTCCTCTCTGTGTCTCCCTCCTCTCTCTTCTACACTCCTCCCTTCTTTCCCTCCTCCCTTTTTCTCCTTCCCTCCTTCACCTCCCTCATCTCAGGTTACCTCTGTTCACGCTTATACTGTGTTCATGTTTCATCTCCCCAGTAGAATATAAGCTCCCTGAGGGATGGGGACTGTTTGGTTTTTTGCCTTTGAATCCTAGCACCTAGCAGTGCCCATACTTAATAATTATTGAATTTGTTGTTTGTCACTCATTTGGGTCCAACTCTTTCATCACCCCAAGGACCATGCTGTCCATAGAGTTTTCTTGGCAGAGATATTGGAGTAATTAACTGTTTCCTTTCTCCAGTGGATTAAGGCAAACACAGGTTGTGACTTCCCCAGGGTCACACAGCTAGTAAATATCTGAGGCCAGATTTGAACTCAGGGCTTCCTGATTCCAGGTGCACTCTATCCACTTAGCAGCTCCTATTATTGATGAATAATTAAGTCACTGGGATAAGCTGCTCTGGCTTCCGACCTCCTGCAGACTCCCAGAGGTCACTGCAGATGCCTGATAGGATAACCCATAATAGTCTGACTGTTCTATTCTGGGTGACAGAAGCCTCTTACAGAGCCCAGGGGTGAGCGTAGAATAAGGAAGGGTCCTAGGAAAAAGGACAGCCTCGAAGGATGTCCCACATCTTTTGAGGCACTGCTATAAGACATCGTTTCTGAAAGTGTGCTTCGGGGGCCCTGTTTCAGGGGAGGCTGATCCAGGCCAAACTTTTTATAATAAGCATCTTAGTTTCTAGTAAGGTAAATGTCAATCAATATAGGCCACATAAACAGAAGCTGTTGGGGGAAGGGTCTTCTCAGTGTAAAGGGATCCTTAGACCCAAAAGTTTGAGTACTGCTCCTATAAGGAATAAAATTTGATTTTGTTTTACAGGAAAGGTGAAAGTGGTACATGCACCGATGTCTCCTCAGTCAGCAAGCTTTTTTTTTTCTTTTGACAAGGCAATCAGGGTTAAGTGACTTGCCCAGGATCACACAGCTAGTAAGTGTCAAATGTCTGAGGCTAGACCGAGCATTTATTAAATGCTTATTTTGGATTAGGCACTGTCCTAAGCTCCGGGGTTACAAATGGCAAAACAGCATAGCCCCTGCCCACAGCACCCTGCCTGTCTGATAAGGGAGGCAGCATGCAGGGCATTTTACATTCCCCTTGTCTGCAGTTTAAGTGGCTGGTAATTTGGAAGCAAGGCTTGGGCTTGGGGATGGGGAGAAAGGCCTGTTGTTGAAGGTGGGATTTGAGGCAGAGTTGATGTGTGGAATGAGAAGGCCCCAAGGCTGTGAGCCTGGGGAACGTGACTAGGAGTTTCAGGGCACCCTTCCGAAGGTACTAGGGAAGTTTGGAAGAAGGGAGAGCTTTGGGGGAAAGGCAGCATTTTGGACATGCTGAGTTTGAGGTGCCTCTGGGAAGGGCTGTTGGCTATACGCAGAAGGCGGTTGATTTGAGACTGGAGCTCAGCTGGGAGGTTGGGGTTGGAGACGGATCTGGGTGATATCTGCATGGAGATGAGAATTGAATCCATGGAAACTGATGAGATCACTGGGGGAGATGGGAGAGAGTACGGGGCCCGGGACAGAGCCAGAGGGGACACCCACAGTTGGAAGGTGTGGTCTGGCTTTCCCTCTGTCATGGCTCTCTTCCCATGTCCTTTCTTGGTCTCTGCTGTTGGATCGTCATCCAGGCAAAGACCAGGGGTGACATCCCAGAGGGACCCCCAAGATGGGACCCCCTTGGCCTAGGACCCCAGGGCTCACTCAAGCTGGATTCCAAAGGGTCACTGGCTTTCTTTTCTCTTGCCCCAACATCCCATTTGGAATTTTCCAGTAAAAATCCCCAAAATAAAAGTTTGTGCACTGTGTTCTTTGTTTCTCCAGACATAGGAAATGAGGGTCCCCACTTCCTGCCTTGTCACTCAGTGTTCCATTTGGGTGTGAGATGAGCCTTCATTATTATACCCACCCCCGAAAATGTCTAAGGCAGAAAGGAATCGAAGCTGCCCATTAGACTCCTTCCTCTCTCCAGCAAAGGTAATACATGAGGGGTGGGGGGGCCTGCCACAGAGACTTCCCATTCCCTTTGGAGTTGGCATTGCCCAAGCAGCTTCCAACAAGAGCAGGCTTGGGGGGTGCTGGCTTCCTTGCACCCAGCATTAGGTTTTCAGCTATAGCATGACCCTCCGATAAATGTTTCCCTAGGAATCATGCTGTTGAGGAAATCTCTGTATAGAAAACTGAATTCTTACATCTCTCCAGCACTCTCTTAATTCTCAAACACCCTGGTCTCTGAACTCTGCTCAGAAAAAGCCAGAAACTCCCCTCTCTGGTTTTCCTGGTCCTGCTCTTGCCTGTGGGCATTGCTGTTCCTGGGGTGGGGAGGAGAGCTGGCAGATCTATCCTCCCCTCCCTTCTCTTCTCCTCCCTTCTGCCTTTCTGGGCTCTGGGCTCCAAGGCTTGCTCTCACAAACCCTGGCACAACTTGGCTTTGCAGACCAGGGAAAGGGCAGCCCTTCCTGCAGGAATCTGATACCCCTTCGTGTCCGTCCCCCCCCCTTCCCCGCTTGCCAATCCTCTTGGAAGCAGCTGCAGCCTTTGAGCACCAAATTCCTGTATTCTTCCTGTGTGCCAGGGCAGCACCTGATTGGGCCTTTCAAACATTGCCCTGGCCCCCATTCGTTGCTCGTAAAATCTCCTTATTAGGACAACAGGAGCCAGCCAGCAGGTCAAGTTTCCTAGGGCTAGGTCCAGGAGGGAAAGTTAAAGGGAAATGGATAGGGGGTGGGGGATGGAAGAAAGGAAATTGAATATTGGTCCATTCCAAGCATCACCGTAGCAGATCGCCAGGGCTGAAAGCCTGAGTTTCACAAACTTGGGTGGTGTGCCTGTATGATACAGAGGAATTTGGGGGACATCGAGCTGTGCGGCCCTTGTTAAAGGTGGCCATTTTGCAGGATGATGACTTCATAGCAGCCAGGATGGATTAAATCCATAAATCAATTAACAGGGCATTGTTAAATGCTTATGATGGGCCAGGCACATTGGGCTTTGGGGATGCAAAGCGAAAACAGCCCCTGTCCCCAAAGAGCTTATGTCCTTTGGGCAAATAATATGTACAGATAAAAAGGTGGGTTCGCTCAGTGGTTTGAGCAGATTTAGAAAGAAGAAGGTGACATATGCCCAAAAATATTGGAGTCAGGAAGACTCATCTTCCTGAGTTCAAATCTGACCTCAGACACTGGTTGTATGACTTTGGGTAAGTCACTTAACCCTGTTTGCCTCAGTTTCCTCATCTGTCAAATGAGTTGGAGAAGGAAATGGCAAACTACTCAGTATCTTTGCCAAGAAAACACCAAGTAGGGTCATGAAAAGTCAGACACGACTGAAAAAAAAAAAAAGATTGAATCACAACAGTTATAAGCCCAAAGTAAATGGAAGCTTCTGGAGGACCAAGACTTTCTTGTCCTTGTATTCTCTGGGTCTGCAGGGCCTTGCCTAGGCTGGATACTGAATCCATGTTTGTTTGAATTGAATCAAATTTGGGTACGGAGATTTATTTTGACTTCTCACTGTAATGTACTTGTTTCTACAGAGTCTGCTTAGAAAAGTAAGCTTGTAATCCTGGGCCAGCTCCTCAGCTTTTTCTGGGTCCTGGACCCCTTTGGCAGTCTGGGGAAGCTTATGGCCTCCTTTTCTGAGTAATGGTTTTGGATGCATAAGATAAAATATTTCAGATTGTAAAGGGAGCTGATTTAGTTTGGGATACAGTTATCAACTTATTAAAAACAAAAACAAAAAACCAAGTTTCCCAAGGACTCCGGGTTAAGACTAATTAGTAACAGTTGGAATTTGAGTGAAACTTACTGTGGCGTGATGTGTAAATAATTTTAATAGCCTTAAAGCTATTCTTTTTTAGAGAATGACCTTCTGTATTTGTTTATTAATTTGTTTTTCTATTTACTTGCTTATTTGTTTATTTTTTGGCAATGTAATGTACCTGACTCTGTCCATAAACATCTATTAAGTGCCTCCTGTGTGCCAGGCACTATCTGAAATGCCAACTAGTCATAAAAGTGTAATACTGAAATAGTTGCATAAAAAATAGGCTATCTCTGCACGTAGTATGCATTTGGTGTCTAGGCACTTCTCCCGAGAATGGTTTTTTTCCTATTGTAAATCCTTCCTGATGTTATTGCCCAAAGCATAAAGTATATAATTTTTGTGAGGGGTTGGAGCGGGGATTTCTTTTGAGTGCAGATGTGATCTGTCTCCGAGGTTAAATGTCAACAGTTGCCTACCTAGTAAATGTGTCATAATTATGTTAATGTCTTCGTGTTGGGAGAGATGGAGGAGTGAATAGCTTTTTAGCTTAGACTCTAACCAGTCCAAAAATAGAGAATCTCAGGTATGCTTTTGGAGTGGCTTTGTTTTCGTTGTTTAGCAATGCCTTAAAAATAGCTCAAGAAAATTAATCTTGTATGAGAAGAGCAGAGGTGACATCATGTGTGTACCTTGTGTACTTACTGGAGGTGAAAGGGGACATAGATGATAGCCATCATCTCTGGGGGGTACAGCCTTGATGGTTTTAATGTCCATTAAATAGTCAGCCCTTCTAAATCAGTGGTGTACTGTAAATACAAAAGCCTGTGCTCTGCTGGTCTTCAGAGGGAATAATATGGAATCTCAAAAATTTCTGTGGACTGTTTAACATTGAATCTTTCAAAAAATCCTTCTATGTTGGGTGACCCCATGAGCCAAGGAAGAATCTTGTATTTGACTCAAGAGGACCTGGATTCCAACCCAGGCTCTTCCATGTGACCTTGGACTGGGCCCAAGTTTCCATATATTTAAAGTGGGAGGGTGGGACTTCTCTTCCAGCTCAACATCTTGTATTCCTAGGATTTGTCAACCTAAATTTGCTCCTAGATCCATGAGAAGTCACATAACTAGAAGTGAGTTCAGCACCGAGACATTCAACAGTCCCTTCTCCCAGTCCTCCCTTCTAATTTAAGAAAAGCCATTTTATGAAGGTGGGGCTCCTTTGAGGCGCTAGACCAGAGGGCCACCCATGCCATCTGCCTGTTTCTCTCCCCATTTCCCCTAGAGTCAGTATTTGGAGTGGTACCCACAAAAGTAGTCTACTCATCCTGGCTTTTTTGCCTTGTCTTCAAATTGCAGAATCAGAACATTCAGAGCTTGCAAGGATCTCGTACTGGTCATCATTTTACTGATGAGGAAACTGAACGCTAAGAAGGGGATGGCTTGCTCAAATTGATAACCAAGGACTAGTTGAGTAGCAGAACTGGGACCCACATTCCCCTCGTCCCTTCAATTTTACTTCCAGTTAGAATCACAGAAATGAGAGCTAGTCTACTGCAAAGGGATCAAACTCGTGGCCACATGCGGCCTGAACCAGGTTAACATGTAGTCCCTCTCAGATTTTAATGTCCTGATGTATTGATAAACAAAGTAATCTATACACATATATGGTTTTGTAAGTCAGTATGTGACCCACAGAGATCCTTATGGATGGGGGCTTCTGTTTCTATCTGAGTTGATCAATAAAGCAACCTCATTTTACAAATAGAGGAGCCTAAGATCTAGAGGTTAATTAAGTGATTTATCTGTTTACACAGGCCCTGGACAGAAGAGGCCAGATTTGAACCTAGGTCCTGAAAGTCCTTGAAAGAACTATTAACAAAAATTGTCCCAAGTATCAGATTGTTCCAATTTACTCTGAATAGGCAATTCTTGATTCTTTTCTTTTAATAATGATTTTTGTATAGGATTCAAGGTGTTTCTGTACCAGGAGTGGTTTGCTTTAAATCCACTCCTTTCCTGTCTTCTGCCCTTTAAAGTTTAGACAAGAAATTCACCAGCTCCTTACTGTCAATAGAAAAGCGTTTGGGTGGTGGGTGGGGATGGGAGGAGGCGCTCAGGTATGCTTCTGGAGCAGCTTAATGCCTAAAAATCAGTGTTTTTCTTTCATGGTGACATTAAACTTTTTTTGTTATTGTGACCTTGGTAGTCATCAGTAAACGTGAGCAATTCCATACATGCAAAAGAGCAGACAAAAGAGAATCGAATCTATTAAGCAACTGCATGGATTTATATATATATTTATGTATTTATATGCAAATATATTCATTTTATACACTTATATTACATATAACACACATACTATATGTGGAAGTATACACAGAATACATGTTATATTTTTATGTAATATAAATATATAATATATAACTAAATATATACTATAGAAGTATATTATACATAGAAATATATTTATATATGTGCTGTACTCAGTAGAGATTTATGGTTTCACATTGGTTTCAAAGCTGTCCTTATCCGTGTCTGTGTGCATGTGTGTGCTTTTACAATGCTAGAATGACTTTTTTGTCATTTTTTTGCAAAAAAAAAAATTACCCCAACTGCCATGGGGGAGACAGCATGGAAGTACTATGTCCATACAAGTTATAAATATAACCTCACTGAGGCCAGCCAGGGCAAAGGCACGTAGGTGGGAAATGGAGGGTTATGTGCCAGCCACAGCACAGCTGGATTATGATGTTCAGGGAGCCTGGAGGAAAGTATAGGAACATTGGAAAGATAAGGAGGGACCAGGTTGTAAAGGGTTTAAGCGGCAGTATTCTATATTTATTCCTGGAGCCATGTGGCACAGACAAAGGTCAGGAATCACCCAGTCCTACGTTTTCGGAAATTAACTTTGGGTGTTGAGTGCAGAATGGTTTTGGAGTTGAGGAGACCACAGCAGGGGTTCTTTACCTTTTTTTGTATCATAGACCCCCTTGGCAGTCTGGTGAAGCCTCTTGTCAGAAAAATGTTTTTAAATGCATAAAATAATACATGGGATTAAAAAGGAAACCAATTCTTTGGAATTGCAGTTAGCACAGTGTTTTTTTTAAAAGGTCATGGATCTCAGGTTAACCCTTGGACCCAAGGCAGGGTGATCAGTAGACCGTGTGAGCTCTGTGAGTGGAAAAAAGTGCGTGTTTTTGAATTTACCTTTT